ATTTCGCTTATGATATTTACATAAATCCAGAGATATTGTTAGTGTTTCACGAGTTGGCTATTATTAAATTTAATTAAATTAATTATTTATCTTACAAATAATACATTATTATAATATATTCTAGAATTAAATGCAAATTACAAATGCTTGAACACACCCTTGGGAATGTAAAACATCGTGTTTGGTAATTAAAAAACTGGGTACTTTTGAGTATTTGTATTTCAAAGCAGCTATATTTGACCAGGGCGATTTGATCATTGGCGCACATGCTGTTGAAAGCATTCAATCGTTTTGTTCGAGCGATTAAAATGGTTAAAAATTTGTCAAAACTTGAAATCACCATCTTTTGCACCTCGCCACATGATTTAACGCAAATAATATTGGTGTTTGTTTTGGGCAAACGATGGATGTTAAATAAATTATATACTTCAGTCAAATAATTTAATTCAATGTTATTGAGACATGTGGCATCAGGGTAAATTATTTTGGGAATTGATTGATCTAGTTGCAAAGTTGATTCGATAGAGTTATCACTTTTGATTATATTATTATTTGTATTTATTTCGCATAATTGTAACGATTCTTGAGTTTTATTGCAAATGACTTGTTTTCTTTTGATACGATTTTCTTCAATCTTTTTGTTTCTTTCATATAATTGTGTTTCCGTTAAAATCCATTCCTAAACATACCGTAAAATACCGTAAAAACATTTTAATTGCTAAATAAAGCATAAAATTAATTAAAACAATTAATTACTCTTTTCATTCCGACTTCAAAACACTTTTTGAGCCGACATTTCTGGCAATGCCTGCGATTCTCGACAGTAATCACACATTTATCGCCCGCTTTGCATAAACTCTGTGTCTGTTTTAATAAGAAATTAATTTAATAATTACTGTAATTATTGTTAATATAAATTAATAACAATATTAATAGCAGTATTAATGTACATAATAATTAATAGTTAATATACTTAGTAATAGTTAGTACTAATAGTACTAATTAATAGTTAGTATAACGTATATAATAATTAAATGAAATATAAATTACATAATCGTTGAGTCCATTTCGACGGAAAAATGTTCTACATGAATGACAGGTTAGGACACAGAAATTATAGCCTAATCAATTAAAATTATTATTATGTAGTAAAAATATGTCCCTAATGAATTATAATTCATTTTACCTGTGGATCTCTCACCACAAATCATGCATAATTTGGGCACTTTATTTGATGGCATTTTAATTTAAATAAATTTACAGTTTAAATAAATTTTATTTAACTTTTAACTTCAACTTTTGTAAATAATATGTTTTAATTTATATATAATTTTTGTGAATTATCATAATGTAACAACATATTTATTTTAATGTGGTATTACTCTACCTATGATGTACAGTACAGATAATTATACAAGCACTATTTTTATGATAGATGGCTTATAAATATATTAATATATTTTTCGGAATAAATGGCTGTTACCACGGTTCTTAATAAGTGGGCAGGGTATACTAATGTTACAATACACTGTATTTATTAATTTATAAATTAAAAATGGTTTTTTGAAATCATTTTTATAAGTAGTAGACAATGTTTATATGGCAACGCTCGACATGTTTTAAGTTACTTGTTAAATAATTTAAGCAATGTACGGTAAACACTTGATTTAAGCATAATATAATTAATGCTATCATATTTACGAGTAAGGCAGGCAAGTTTGGAGATTAATTGTTACAATGTAAAATTGCACAATTTTTATTTTATCAAAAACTTATCAAAAGGTTTCAATGTTCCTTGTATGCAGTATTGTACAAGTTATACCTGTATACATGTAACCTGGTATTTTATTAATTTTCAGTTGATTGACTATTTAATGAAGACTTTTTTATTAAATTTAGTTATAATTAAACACTAATATTTTATTATCAATGAAGTGTGTAATTGTCAAAACATGAATATAAAGATACTTTATACTCTCATTTATTTATTTTTAATCAAAATGAAAGTTACATGAAATTACATTTTAACAAAGAGGTTTAAATGAAATTATATTGTCAGGAAAAACTAATTAGTGTAATTAAACACTATTTACTGTAAACTCTAATTACAGTTAAGACCCGTTATTAATACCTAATTGACACGTGACTCTACTCTATATATTCTTCGCGCCAATACTTTATTCATATATGTATGTACTATTCACATACACCATTATACTCGCATTTATATTGTAAACATGTATGAATATACCCATACATTAAGTTACGATATCGGTAATCTGGCCAGAATCGGTAATCCCGAGGACGGACGGACACCAATCATACCTCATTTTAATCACATCCTTATACCGCATATATCATACAAATATCGCGGTCCCGCTATAAGCCGTTTACGAGTTATCACATAAAACATTTACCGAACATCGGTAATGTGGCCATAATGGACAAACCCCTGATTAGAAACTCATGATACCTATACCATCGAAAGACCACCTCAAGGGGTAGACAATACTAGAAGATGAAGATGCTACATAATGTTTT